GGGCGCGGAATTCCGGAAAGGTAATGTTAACCGTTCCGGAGATATCACCCCACCTTGGGGAACTCCCTGTTTTACTCTACGAGGCTTGGACTTCTTATTCCGGAATTCCACGTACGACTGGGCGTCCACACATATAGTTGACTATCCAACGTTTCAAACTTGGCCGAGGGTAGTGTTCTCAACGTCCTCGAACAGCGTGGCATGGTTGACCGTATCAAAGGCCTTTGATAGTCGAGAGCCACCACTACTGTTCTGTGGCACGGCCTGTTCTGGTTGAGTCCTCGACTGATGTGTGTATATGGCGTGCAATGCTGTTGTAGTGCTATGTAGTGGACGGAAACCGTGGTGATGGTTAGAAACTGAATAGCTTTCCTCTGATACTGGGAGGGTAAGGCCTCGAGAGTCTTTGCTACTGGCGACAAAAGCGAAATTTGGCCTGTATGATTCGCCTTTGCTGGCATCCTTGCCAGGCTTCAGTAGCGGGACCACCCTGCCCATTTTCCAGGCTTCGGGAACTATGTGGGTGGTAACGACAAGTTAAGGACTTTGGTTAAATACTCAACTCCCGGCGTATCCATTGCGTTTCACATTGATATTCCAACGCTTTAGATGACTTAGCGTTTCGGATGACATTCGCAACATCACCCATCGTAAACTGTGGAGGTACATCCTCAGCGGGAAGAGCTCTTATACGACGTAGTACTCTTCGCCTCGCTCTATCACTCTCGGGGTGCTCGACAAATTGGCGGTTAAAACAGCCAGCGCACCTCTTCGGATCAGTCACAGTTACGTCGTTAAATGTGACTGCTGTCCTATCATCCTTTTTCCGGGTTCGAGAGTGACTTTACCGTTACCCACAGTTTACTCAAATCGGTTCCGATGTTGCAACACTTCAGATGGTCTAGCCCTTTTTCCGCTTATGCTCCTGTACCAACCGGTTGACTTCCACTGTCAGTTCACTGACTCTGGGATCAGTAGGGTTGGTACGTCGGAGCTCATCACGCTCATTCGCTAATCCCGCTGCCTCTGCTGGGAAATTGGTCTTACTTCGGGTATTCGACCAGCAGGTATATAGCGAGCGGCTGCAGCTTTGATGATGTCCCGGAAAATCCTTTCAGCTACCCGAACATCAGAAGGATTGGGCAGTTCTCTGAAGCGAAGGTTGATGAACTCTCTGAACTCGGGCCAGTGGGCTTTCCCATGGTTAAGGAAAGTGCGGCGTTCAGAGGTTATGAAATCGGGCGATCTGCTGATGAGACGATTATCGTATACATGTATACAAAAACTGTAGATTTTGTCGATGCATACGTTGCTATAAGCATTTTGAAAACACCCGAATTTGAATATTTTCTGATTTTTTTATTGTTGAAAAGAATACACATACATAAACAAATAAAGTTGACTATTAAGCCAGAAAAATAAAAATTAAAATCATATGGTAGTTCTGCTCTACCTTGAATTCATTGTACCATGGTGGCAGCCTATTGTGCGGGACTGTATCACACGAAGGGCAGGCGTCGCGCACATCTTCATCAATTCGTGCCCAATACGACTACACCATCCTGAACGTAATTGCGTCAAAACTACCCTGGTTTGTCTAGGCACTGATGTTGTTCAGCTGCAATGGATGGGGGGACTCCGAGTACGGCATTCATTTTATAATTGCTAATAGCATCTGCGACTGCATCGGTATGAATGCCACTCAGACCTGCCTGATAGGCTTCTTGATCTAGAGGTTCTCTCTCTTGTAGCGTTGGACCTCCCTCTCTAGATCATGTATGTCCTTTCTGACACGCCTGAGTGGGGGAGATTTATCCACATATGATGGTTGGGATGACTCTCACGGTAGCACCAAGCAGTACTGCAACGAAAGCATATGACCATGCTGACGTAAGGGAAGGACTTTCGCCTCCTCATGTAGATGGTCCACTGGTGTCATGAGCAGCACCCTGTCGCAGTTCTCAGGGCAGCGTTCTGGCAGTTCTGGATGTACTTCCATACATATAGTTGATTATCCAACATTTCAAACTTGTCCGGAGGGTGGTTCGATGCACGTCCTCAAACCGTATGGCATGATTGACCGTATCAAATGTCTTTGATAGGTCAAGGGCAACCAAAACTGTTCTGTCACACGGCCTTTTCTGGTTCAGTCCTCTACTAATATGTGTACAAATGGCGTGTATACTGTTGTGGACGGAATCCGTGCTGGTGGTGGGCAACTGTATAGTAGTATTGGCTACTGGCAACAAAAGCGAAATCGGCCTGTACGATTCGCCTTTACTAGCATCCTTGCCTGGCTTCAATTGCGGGACCATCCGACCCATTTTCAAGATATCGGGCACTATGTGGGTGGCTAGCGACAAATTGAGAACTTTCGTTAAGTTCTCGACTCCGGCATATCTAACTGTTTAAAAATTACCATTGAGATTCCGTCCGGCCCAACATTTGCAACATCACCCATCGTAAACTGTGGTAACCACACCTCGGCGGGAATAGATCTGATACGACGTAGTACTCTTCGATAGTCACCGTTACGTCGATAAAGTGACTGAGGCCCTATCATCCGTTTTCCAGGTTCGAGAGCAACTTAACCTTTACCCACCTTACTCATATCGGTTCCAATGTTGCAACATTTCAGGTGGTCTATCCACTTTTCCGCTTATGCTCCTGTACCAAACGGTTGACATCCACTGTCAAATCACTGATTCTAGAATCTGTAGGGTTGTTACGATGGAGATCATCACACTAATCCCGCTGTCTCTGTTGGAAGTTTGGTCTTATCTCGGGTATTCGACCAGCAGGTATGTAGCGAGCGGCTGCAGCTTTCATAATGTTTCGGATAATCCTTTCTGCTACCCGAACATCAGAAGGTTTGGGCAGTTCTCTGAAACAGCGTTTAGTGAATTCTCTGAACTTAGTCCAATGTGCTTTCCCATGGTTAAGAAAGTGCGGCGTTCAGATATTATGAAATCGGGAGATATGCTTATGGAGACGATTATCGGGAGATGGTCTGAGCCAAGGGAAATAACGGGTTGCCAAGTCACGTCATTTATCAGACCGGGTGACACTATGGAGAAGTCTGGGGAACTGTGACACTCTCATCTTATGGGGGGTAACCGTTAACCGTGCAGAATGTGGAGCAGTCAATCTGCCCTGTCAGCGCTGATCCTATCTGTCATTAACTAGGATGAAATGCCACAACTCATGGTGGGCATTAAAATCTCCTAGTCCACGTATGGCTAATATCTGGAAATTAACGGGTTTACAGCTATTAATCGACGGGATATACACACTAAGCACCTTTACCTCGCCTCCACACTTGACTGCTACCCCCATACATTCCATGTATGGCTCAATCGAGATAGGTCTGTACTGAACAGAATGTGTAACAGAAACGCTAATCCTCCACCTCCACTTCTGGTGCGATCCTTCCTTAGTACGTTCTAACCGTAACAACGTTGTAGGCTGCAAATTTCATTCAGCTTGGTTTCCTGCACCGCTGCGATCTTAATATTCCTCCGATTCATAAATTCCAGTATCTCATCTATTTTGCCCCGGAGTCTGTTGCAATTGAATTGCAAGAACGATGCACAATCCGTGGTTGGAACAGCATATCGGTTGCAGTTCTGGAGACTGTGGTGGAGTTCCATACTTCGGCGACGCCTCTGATGAGGACGACGAAGAAGTGGATTTGCTGGGGACTACGCTACTGGGGCACGTCGCAACTTAATCTCTTTCGCTGCAGTCTCGCAAACGCCTTAGTCAGGAACAGTCTTAAAGTGCGCCCATTCCTATATCCATTACATCGCACAGAAACAGATCGGTGGTGAATGACGTGTTCTGACAAACCCAGCAGAACCCACGTCCAGAGTTTTCCTCAATCCCGACACGGACCAATATAATCCGGAGCAAGCATTCCGGAATATACTGCTCCCAACGCAGAAAATAAACAAACACAAACATGTAAATACTGGGTTGACAGCCGCTGGACGGAACTGGGATGTTGTTTCCGGTCAATCCGGTATCGTAAAACCCGCTGCCGTGGGATTGAGCACCTGATATTGTAAGATTTCATTACTCTATGGTTTTACCCCTTAGAAAAATAAATGACCAAAAACTCTTATTAGAAGTGGATGTGCTAAAGCTACCAGAAAGTTTTAAAGAAATATCTCTCTTGCAATATGGGAGTATAAATATAAAATAAGCCAATAAATTGTAGAACCGTAGTTTATAAAATACACATTTTCCCTTATTTATCGGCAAAGAAAACAACGATCGAAGCAATAATTCAGTGGAAAGTCCGTAATAATAGAGAAAAAGTAAAAAAACATTAAGTTCGGCCAGGCCGACTTTAAATACCATCCAACATTAGCTAAAATATACATTTTTATGTAAAATGGATTCAAACATGTTTATTAGGTTGTAATATATGTTTTAATAAACATTTGTATAGGTTAGGTGTTTTTGATAATGCATAATTAATATAATATTACAAATTGTTATTGCCTTAAATTATTCATACATTTTTCTAGTATATCTTTTTGAATTAATGACATAATCTGGATGTAATTTTAAGACCTGCTGGCATATTACTATAGCTTCAACAAAACGTTTAGTTTTCATGTAGTTGTAAGCCAATTTATAGCGATATGTGGTTTCGAGCTGCCGTTGCAATTCCATGCACTGCAATAATTTTTAGCAGCGTCTCGGTAAAGCGCGACTTTTCCGATATATATCCTGCTAATTCATAAGCTTTAGAAGAGGACTTATTATGCTGCAGGACTTTTAAAAACTAAGGATCTGCCACATCCAATTTGTTGGAATTAATATAAATGTCTGCCAATAACACCAACTGCGCTCTAAATACTCGGCTTCTTCAAAATTCCATGCAACTCGGACTACCCGTTTAGATGGTTTTTCGCACGTTGAGTCTGTTTTAATTGAACCAAAGCCGTAGCTGCACCAGAATAGGGCCAACGCTTCCTTGAAGATCTTCTCTATTAGACAATTCAAGAAAGTCTTGTAGTGCAGATTCAATTTGAAACTTTTGTTTAGAAGCCAGTTTTAGAAATTTTTTAGTAATCGATGATTAATTGCTTCGTTGTTCATAACAGTCGGGCGGGGTCTCAGCTCTTTTAATAAACGTTCTGCTGTTTTTAATGCAATGGCCCGCGCATCACTCATTTCTCCATTTTCTTCAGATTCCAAGCAATCATTTCCATTAGGTATGTCGCCATCAGGATTAATACATATTTCAATCATATTATATATAGCTTGCGGACCCCATTCATTATCTCTTCTAGAAACGTTAAAACTTCGTAATGCCCCATTTGGATTCCCATTATACCATTCGTAAAGTCCACGGCAATAGTTTAATCCGGGACATGTCCCGGGAAATGCTGTTGCTTGTTCGGCTTTTGCAGAAATAAAATAGCGTGATTTAAAGATCCAGACCGTCTCATTACTTCAATCAATCTTGCTAAGGCTGTCCAGTAGCAAGGCTGTGAGAGCAATAGCTGTGAGAAGTGGTATGCAGCATTTTCGAAGTCCATCTAATAAAAAACAACTATTATTTATACTTTATCAAATTTTAATAAAAATCATACCTTGCGAAATGATAGATCAGCCATTAATACGGACGCAGCCTCATTGTTACAATCGATTTGTAAAATTTTTAAGCAAATGTCGCGACATAAATCTGTGGAATTCATTTGCATGTAGATCCGACTGAGCGATATCAATACATTAATATCATTGGGATCGTACTTCAAACATTCCTTAGGTGGATCAGAGCTTGCTCTATATTGCTAATCTTGGTGCAATGCTGTGCCATCAGCAAACAAATCCTATATAGTTTAAATCACAATTAATTAAAAATGTTTGTTAAATAGATATTAAAAATATTAAAAAAATTAAGAATCACACTTAAAATAACTTAAAAAATAAAAATATTATTGTAACCATGTCATAATTCCAGAAGGTAGAATAAAGCTACCCTAATACAATTTTTTCTTTCGGTGCCTTTATTCTGTCAAAACATATACACAGTTGGCGTATGTGCGTATTCTTTTGAATAAAACATAAACGTTGTTGTTGTAGCAGTAGTACATGCAAGTGTTTGCGTTCTGCTAATCTGGTTCCAGCTCCAGATTTAGAAATTCGGCTACTCGGGCTTGTAGCCAGAGATATTCTGGAGTGAGTTGAGAAGGTTTGGCTGTGCAATAAAATAGGTGCAGCCATGGTACAATGAAGACGATGTAGGCTAACTTTGAAAAAATGCAAGTATAGAGGTCTACCTGTTTGGCTCGTAATGTCAGAATTTCTATCAAAACAATAAAAAAGCAAACACTTGTTGCATTGAGTTTGAATAAATAATTAAAAAACCGCAAAACTGAATGAAAGGTCAAAATTTCTTTTCAAATTCATGTTCTATGTATCTCTTATGGTTTATTCCCTACAAAAACTGTTGTTGTTGTAGCAGTTTTACACGTTCTGTTGTTTTTTTTTTTTCCGACTAATCCGGTTCTTCCTCAATGTCCAGGTTTAGGAATTCTGCTACCTTTATGGGCTGTAGCCATAGATCCTCTGGACGGAGTTGGGTAGGCTTGGCAGGACAATTAAACAAATGCAGCGTGTTGTGCGGGCCTGTATCGCACGCTGGGCAGCGTTTCCGCACATAGTCATCAATTCGTGCCCTGGTTTGCCTAGGCAGCCGACGTTCTTCAGCTGCAATGGATGGGGGGTGGACTCCGAGTATGGCATTCATACTGTAATTATTGACTACCTCTGCGACTGCATCAGTATGAATGCTATTCAGACCCGCTTGATAGGCTTCATGATCTAGAGGCTCTCTCTTATATCGCTGGACCTCTCTCTCTAGATCGTGCAGGTCCTTCCTGACACGCCTGGGTGGGGGAGTTCTATCCACCATATGGTGGTTAGGGTGACTCCCGCGATAACACCCAAGCAGGTACTGCAACGAAAGCATATGATTATGCTGACGTAAGGGAAGAACCTTCGTCTCCTCATGTAAGTGGTCCACAGGCGTCATGAGGAGGCACCCTGTTGCAGTTCTCAGGGCGGCATTCTGGCAGGTCTGAATACATTTCCACTGCGTTGCACTTGTATTCGCCGACCACACTGGAGCCGCATAGCTAACCACAGACCGACCTATCGCTTTATAAGAGGTCAACAAGGTTTCCTTATCCGCACCCCAAGTGCTGCCGGCTAGCGCCTTGAGGACCTTGTTCCTACTTTTCATTTTATCGCAAATAGCTGTGGCTTGCGCGAAAGACTTGAACATGCTATCGAATGTGACCCCAAGAATTTTGGGGTAGTTGGTGGTCGGAATTATATGCCCCTCGACCTGCACATTCAGCTGTGTTCTCATCTCCGCAGTCCATGTGGTAAATAGTGTGGCCGTCGATTTAGTGGCGGATATTTTCATATTCCTCGCGTGGAAGAAGGCGGCAAGCTCCGCGAGATAATTATTCACCCTGACACATATGTCATCAACTACAGGACCCGACGCCATGATCGTACAATCATCCGCATAAGTTACGATCTCGATGCCGTTCTGGAGGGCGCGGAATTCCGGAAAGGTAGATGTTAAACAGTTCCGGAGATATCACCCCACCTTGGGGAACTCCCTGTTTCACTCTACGAGGCTTGGACTTCTTATTCCGGAATTCCACGTACGACTGGCGTCCACACATATAGTTGACTATCCAACGTTTCAAACTTGGCCGGAGGGTAGTGTTCTCAACGTCCTCGAACAGCGTGGCATGGTTGACCGTATCAAAGGCCTTTGATAGGTCGAGAGCCACCACTACTGTTCTGTGGCACGGCCTGTTCTGGTTGAGTCCTCGACTGATATGTGTGTATATGGCGTGCAATGCTGTTGTAGTGCTATGTAGTGGACGGAAACCGTGTTGATGGTTAGAAACTGAATAGCTTCCTCTGATACTGGGGAGGAGTAAGGCCTCGAGAGTCTTTGCTACTGGCGACAAAAGCGAAATTGGCCTGTATGATTCGCCTTTGCTGGCATCCTTGCCAGGCTTCAGTAGCGGGACCACCCTGCCCATTTTCCAGGCTTCGGGAACTATGTGGGTGGCTAACGACAAGTTAAGGACTTTGGTTAAATACTCAACTCCCGGCGTATCCAGTTGCTTCAACATTACTATTGATATTCCGTCCGGGCCCAACGCTTTAGATGACTTAGCGTTTTCGGATGACATTCGCAACATCACCCATCGTAAACTGTGGAGGTACATCCTCAGCGGGAAGAGCTCTTATACGACGTAGTACTCTTCGCCTCGCTCTATCACTCTCGGGGTGCTCGACAAATTGGCGGTTAAAACAGCCAGCGCACCTCTTCGGATCAGTCACAGTTACGTCGTTAAATGTGACTGCTGTCCTATCATCCTTTTTCCCAGGGTTCGAGAGTGACTTTACCGTTACCCACAGTTTACTCAAATCGGTTCCGATGTTGCAACACTTCAGATGGTCTAGCCACTTTTTCCGCTTATGCTCCTGTACCAACCGGTTGACTTCCACTGTCAGTTCAGTAGGGTTGGTACGTCGGAGCTCATCACGCTCATTCGCTAATCCCGCTGCCTCTGCTGGGAAATTTGGTCTTACTTCGGGTATTCGACCAGCAGGTATATAGCGAGCGGCTGCAGCTTTGATGATGTCCCGGAAAATCCTTTCAGCTACCCGAACATCAGAAGGATTGGGCAGTTCTCTGAAGCGAAGGTTGGTGAACTCTCTGAACTCGGGCCAGTGGGCTTTCCCATGGTTAAGGAAAGTGCGGCGTTCAGAGGTTATGAAATCGGGCGATCTGCTGATGGAGACGATTATCGTATACATGTATACAAAACTGTAGATTTTGTCGATGCATACGTTGCTATAAGCATTTTGAAAACACCCGAATTTGAATATTTTCTGATTTTTTTATTGTTGAAAAGAATACACATACATAAACAAATAAAGTTGACTATTAAGCCAGAAAAATAAAAAAATTAAAATCATATGGTAGTTCTGCTCTACCTTGAATTCATTGTACCATGGGTGCAGCCTATTGTGCGGGACTGTATCACACGAAGGGCAGGCGTCACGCACATCTTCATCAATTCGTGCCCAATACGACTACACCATCCTGAACGTAATTGCGTCAAAACTACCCTGGTTTGTCTAGGCAACTGATGTTGTTCAGCTGCAATGGATGGGGGTGGACTCCGAGTACGGCATTCATTTTATAATTGCTAATAGCATCTGCGACTGCATCGGTATGAATGCCACTCATACCTGCCTGATAGGCTTCTTGATCTAGAGGTTCTCTCTTGTAGCGTTGGACCTCCCTCTCTAGATCATGTATGTCCTTTCTGACACGCCTGAGTGGGGGAGATTTATCCACCATATGATGGTTGGGATGACTCTCACGGTAGCACCAAGCAGGTACTGCAACGAAAGCATATGACCATGCTGACGTAAGGGAAGGACTTTCGCATCCTCATGTAGATGGTCCACTGGTGTCATGAGCAGGCACCCTGTCGCAGTTCTCAGGGCAGCGTTCTGGCAGTTCTGGATGTACTTCCAATACATATAGTTGATTATCCAACATTTCAAACTTGTCCGGAGGGTGGTTCTATGCACGTCCTCAAACCGTATGGCATGATTGACCGTATCAAATGTCTTTGATAGGTCAGGGGCAACCAAAACTGTTCTGTCACACGGCTTGTTCTGGTTCAGTCCTCTACTAATATGTGTACAAATGGCGTGTAATACTGTTGTGGACGGAATCCGTGCTGGTGGTGGGCAACTGTATAGTAGTATTGGCTACTGGCAACAAAAGCGAAATCGGCCTGTACGATTCGCCTTTACTAGCATCCTTGCCTGGCTTCAGTTGCGGGACCATCCGACCCATTTTCTAGATATCGGGCACTATGTGGGTGGCTAGCGACAAATTGAGAACTTTCGATAAGTTCTCGACTCCCGGCATATCTAGCTGTTTAAAAATTACCATTGAGATTCCGTCAGGGCCCAACATTTGCAACATCACCCATCGTAAACTGTGGTGGTTCCTCCTCGGCGGGAATAGATCTGATACGACGTAGTACTCTTCGATAGTCACCGTTACGTCGATAAAAGTGACTGAGGCCCTATCATCCGTTTTCCAGGTTCGAGAGCAACTTAACCTTTACCCACAGCTTACTCATATCGGTTCCAATGTTTGCAACATTTCAGATGGTCTATCCACTTTTTCCGCTTATGCTCCTGTACCAACCGGTTGACATCCACTGTCAAATCACTGATTCTAGAATCTGTAGGGTTGTTACGATGGAGATCATCACACTAATCCCGCTGTCTCTGTTGGGAAGTTTGGTCTTATCTCGGGTATTCGACCAGCAGTATGTAGCGAGCGGCTGCAGCTTTCATAATGTTTCGGATAATCCTTTCTGCTACCCGAACATCAGAAGGGTTGGGCAGTTCTCTGAAACAGCGTTTAGTGAATTCTCTGAACTTAGTCCAATGTGCTTTCCCATGGTTAAGGAAAGTGCGGCGTTCAGATATTATGAAATCGGGAGATATGCTTATGGAGACGATTATCGGGAGATGGTCTGAGCCAAGGGAAATAACGGGTTGCCAAGTCACGTCATTTATCAGACCGGGTGACACTATGGAGAAGTCTGGGGAACTGTGACACTCTCATCTTATGGGGGGTAACCGTTAACCGTGCAGAATGTGGAGCAGTCAATCTGCCCTGTCAGCGCTGATCCTATCTGTCATTAACTAGGATGAAATGCCACAACTCATGGTGGGCATTAAAATCTCCTAGTACCAGGCG